ACAAAACAAAATTGACATCTAGAGTCTTCCTCAGTCACTCTTAACCTTAGTTATTGAGGCGGGATCTCAGTTGAATCTGGAGCTAGCCATCTTACTCCCATGTTGTCCTCACCTTCTGAGGTGGAATACAAGAGGGCCACTGCATTGTCCCCGCTTTCAGCTCAAAATCTGTTGGCTTTTAAATTCATAGATTGGGGTTGGGGATTTAGCTCAGTGGTAGAGTGCTTGCTAGAGGCCCTGGGTTCCGTCCTCAGCTCCAGAAAAGAAAAAAAGAAAGAAAAAATTTGTGGATTAATCTGTAGATTCCAATCAGTATGTTTTTGTGGAGAGTTAGTCTTAATTCTTCTTTTATAATAGTCACTATAGAAAAATGCATTTGTTTACCATCAATCACATGATTATTTTAGGAGAAATTAAAGAGACAGTTTGTCAAATATTTGGCCACACAGTCATATTTGTTTTAAAAAAGAAGACAGAGCTAGAGAGATTGTTCAGCAGTTAAAAGTACTTATTGCTCTTGCAGAGAACTTGAGAACTTGAGTTCTGTTCCCTCACTCATGGTGTTCAGCTCACAACTGCCTGTAATTCCAGCTCCAGGGTCGTCTCTGACCTCTGGGCATCCATACACATATGCACAGACAGGCACGCAAACATTTTCTAAAAATAAAAAAGTACTAGAGTCAAATAGGATGTTATTTAGTGTGTGAAACATCACTTAGCAAATGTTGGTACCATTTTTCTGTGTAGCTTATTTGGGAGGAAGAGTGCCAGAGCACATGAATAGGAAATAGATTTGTATTTCAACTTTACTTATGCTGTCCTCAAAAAAAAAAAAAAAAAAAAAAAAAATCTCCCTCTGTCTTTGCAAGCCAAGTTAGATTCTAAGTTTACATTATATAACATTTTTGTCTAAGAGGCACTCGTTTATCGTCTACATGAGGAAGAAAAGCTGTAACCACTGCAAGGTCAAATTCTGTTATTTCACTGGTAATATAGAGCCAGTGATAACTTGAGATACTTCAGCAGCTTATTATAAAACCCTTTAAGTAACTAAATTATTTTGCCTTTATGACTGTTGTGTGCTGGAATGAGAGCTGGACTCCCCGGCTTCTAGATTAGATGGAACCATGTGTTCTCTGCAGCATACACGGTTTCCCCCTTTTGAGTTTTGATTGGTTCAGTTTCCCATTTTTCTCACTTACTGCTGTTGCTGTTTTTGCTTTGTTAAATTTTAAGATTACCCCACAGTTCTCTAACTTGTAAGCTATTTGAGAAGGTACTTATAATAGCCACACAACAAATGCATTTGGATTAACACATCCCTTTTCATGCCATATGAACTGGAATTTAGTAGCAAGAGAATCCACCTGCTAATTGAGGCTTTTTTTTTTTTTTTGGTTCTGAATCTCATTGTGCAGTTAATTAGTTAAGTATTTTTCAGACAGGGTTTCATTACATAGCACTGGATGGCGGGAACTTACTATGTATACCAGCCCAGCTGGCCTTGAATGTGTTTTTTTCTTTTTTCTTAGATTTATTTATTATGTCTACAGTGTTCTGCTTGCCTATATCCCTTCAGGCCAGAAGAGGGCACCAGATCTCATTATAGATGGTTGTGAGCCACCATGTGGTTGCTGGGAATTGAACTCAGGACCTCTGGAAGAGCAGTCACTGTTCTTAACCTCCGAGCCATCTCTCCAGTCCCCGGATGTTCTTAAAGGAGAAATTAAGAACTGTTTTAATTTCTAAATTAATGATCCTGGAAAAATAACTGCTTTACAAAGATGGGTCTCTGTATCAGTCCCCAGTTGTGTGTATTTGAATTTATAACAACATGGCACTATCTGTGAAATTCAGAATTGTATATTTGTTATTTTATTTGAACATTTGTTAGTGTTCAATCTTAATGGCTAATGCAGATTTTACGTACGTGTGAACAGATTTTATATCATTTGTGTTCCTTTCTATAAGTTATAAACTTTTCAAGATTCCTTTGTGTAATCATGCTTTGTCTAGATGCATGTTCACTTTAATTTTTCAGATACTCCATAGAGAAATAAATGGCATATTAGATGGTGAGGTGGCTAAGGGTGCTTGCTGCCAAGTCTGGTGACTGAATTAGTGATCCCATGGTGGAAGGAGAAAATGTCTTCCCAAATTGTCCTCAGACCCCAACATGTGCATGGTGGTGTACACAGATGTGTGTACACATACAATAATTTTTTTAAAGAAATGGTATATAACATAGTAAAGAGTCTCATACATGTAAACTTGGAAAACTATTCATGGAACCTTAGCTTTTGATCTAATAATGCCTGAAGGAAATTTAAAACTTTAGTGGATCGGGAACATCTTAGACTCTGACCCTCAATCTCTCAATTTGGGATTCTACCTATTGTCATTTTCACTTGCTTTTCCCCATGTCCCTCCCCTCTTAAGATGTTGCCTTGAGCTAGGATTTCTTACTGAACTGAAAGCTCATTCCAGCTAGGCTGGATGGTAGTGAAACTGTGGGTCTTCCTGCCTCTGTCCCCAGGGCTGGGTTTGCAGGCACATGCTTTTTTACCTGGAGGCTAGGAATTCAACTTAGGGTATCATACTTCCAGGGCAAGTGCTCTTAGCATTGATCCATCTCTCCAGCCTCTCTGTTTTTTTAAAGTCCTGTGCCTTGTTCTCTTATTTGTGATCTTGTTCATTGTGCCTAGGATTTACATAATCAGTGAAGGTTTTCTATTCACCTTTACTTAGCTTGCTTTAAAAAAAAAAAAAAAAACAAAAAACAAACTTCCAAAAGGATATTGCTGGTTTTACTGATAAACTTAACCAAAAGGAAGCAAATTTTATTATCACTTAGTGTTATTTACTAGATTTTAAAATGAAAATGCCTGGAATCAGATTTTGCTGGTGCTTTCACTTTTTTTTTTTTTTTTTTTAAGGTCAAGAGTAATACAGGCTTTAAAGTTTATAAAGCAGGGCATAACCCACTGGGATACAGCTTGTCAGGAATATAACCGTGTTTTGCCTGAAAGGACCCGTGCAAGCTCACTTTAAGCTTCATGAAAGCTGCATGATTAAAACTGGAATACACAACTGATGATGCAGATGAAGCTTTGGCTTCTTATTTGATGTAAATTGTGTTAGCAACACAGTGTTGATATTACATAGTCTTAGATAAAATACTTAACTGTATATTTTGCTGTTTACTAAAATAATGACTGGCTAGAAGTACTTTCAGAATAAGTAGATGAGTCTTTTACTGACATATGGAAGAACTTAAGTCCACCTTCATTACTTTATAAGTGTGGTAGGAGCTTAAGTCAGCAAGTACCTGAACAGAAGTAGTGTACATGGTAGAATAATGAGTGGGGAATTCTGGAAGAGGTCATTATCCGATTCAACTCCTAACTTGAAATAAATCAAACCAAGTTAGTGGTTTGTGCTGCCTGGATTTTGTCTAAGTAAAGTTAGATCATTGACTACATAACGTTGATCATGTGCTGTCAGTATTAGAGCCTTTATTTAAATGACTATAGTTAAATGATATCTTGACTGGATTCATTTAGATTCATTTTCCATTTGAGTTTCTTTTTCTTTTTTCTTGTTGGTTTTAATGGAATTGGCAGCATCTAAAATGTTTAAAGTCAGAGTGAGGAGGGCTGGAGAGATGGTGGCTCAGTAGTTAAAGGGTACCTGCTACTCTTTCAGGGGACCTGTGTTCTCTTCCTAGGGTGCACAACTGTCCTTAATGCCAGTTCCAATAGATCAGATGCCCTCTTTTGGCCTCCACAGGCACTGCATGCATATGGTATAGTTAAGTGCATGTAGGAGCAAAAGACTCATGCACATAAAAATAAAATAAAATAAAATGATCCTTTCTTTAAAATTCTGAATATTTTCTTAGAGAAAGAAAAGAGACTACTGAAGATTAAAAATGAAAGGTACCAGTATTAAATGTTGAACAGGTTGTTACGATGTATAAGTCATGAATAGAGAAGTTAGTGCTTCACTTTGTGCATCTTTATTTAATTGCCCGTTGCTACTTTTTACTTTGCTTACGTTTGCTTTCAATTAGGATGAATAGACTTCTTGGGATTTAGTTTCATATAGAGCTAAAAGGGTTAGTGAGAAAGTCTGGAGATGGGTGACAAGGGGAGTGGAAACCTCAGGCATTTTCTGATTAGATCAAATGGTACCTATTTCAGATAGAAATCTTGGAATCAGCTGGAATCGTATTGGCTCAAACATGATACACTGGATATAATTTTAACTGTTTCAGGGCTATGTTAAAGATAACCTCATTGTAGTACGATGGTTCTTATGCATTGAAAAGACCCCATGCTGTATCATGTCATTTCACATGGTCTTTTTCCCCCAAGATTCAGAATGCTTTGTTGTTAATGCTGGAATAGTCTCAGGTTTCAATGTGCTTCATATTAATTCATGACAGTGACAATTTTATGCATGGTGAAATTTTAATTGCCTTGTACTTTTGTCATTTTAGATCGGTGGTTACTTTTCATTGGCCTATGCTTGAATGTACATAGTCTTCCCTTCTAATTATTGGAAATGCCTGTAAATTTAATTAACTAGTTTTATTTATAATGGATACATGACCTCTGAGTTTACTGAGTAAAATGTGTTTTAGTTAGACTACCTAACCATCCTTTTGAGTAAAAAGCTTAAGTGTAGCTTTTACTAGTTAGTGCTCAACAGGATTTGACGTTGTTGACTTGCTAGACTGCAGCTGGTACGTATATACTATTTTTTTTTTTCAAAAAAATTTCATTTTATGTGTATATGTGTGTCTGGGAGTGTATGCTACATGTATGTGCGTGAAGAAGCCAGAAGAGGGTTGGATATACTACTTCTGAAAAAGTGCCCCTGTTAACTGTGCTCAAAGAAATTACTGGGGGTGGGGGAAGGGTTGTTACTGGAAAGGAATGTTTCAGATAGTTTATGTTTAGCGTGAAATTTTGATCTTTCTGAATTTTTTCTTTTAGAACAAATTCTGTACAACATAAAACAGGAGTATAAACGTATGCAGAAGAGAAGACATTTAGAAGCTAGTTTTCAGCAGACAGACCCAGGTTGTAGTTCTGATTCACAGCCACATGCATTTCTCATCAGTGGACCAGCATCACCAGGTAATAAGAAACTTTAATAAGTGAAAGAAATGTTATGTAAGAAATGATGGGGAAAGTATAATGCAAATGCCTGCAGTGACTTAAAGCACCCCTAAAAAAGAATTATGCTATAATAGTAATCAGCACCTGGATTCTCACCAGCCACAGACAGCCACTTTTATTTAGCAACCCTAAAGCAGATGCCATGTAAGTATAATGACTTGTAACTTCCATTAAAAAATCACAAGTGCTTTACTGTATGTTTTAAAAACACCCAATCTTGCCGGGCGGTGGTGGCGCACGCCTTTAATCCCAGCACTCGGGAGGCAGAGCCAGGCGGATCTCTGTGAGTTCGAGACCAGCCTGGGCTAC